TCTCTCCGAGTTGCCTTGATCTTAGCCTCCAATCTCATTTTCCAGGGTGGGTATGTACTGCTGTTTTTCTTGATCGTGTAGCCTATATATATATGCCTTTGATTTTTCCTACCTGTATGTAAGAATGTCATCACAGTCAGCTCTGTACCAATGTCCAACCCATATTTCACCATCTTCTCCATTAGGATCTCATGTGAAACTTGGTTAAACACTTGGCTGAAGTCAAGATATACTAGGTCCCAGATCTGCCCATTTTTTTTAGTTAGGTATTTACATACACAGACACTGCCTTCCCTTTCCACTCACACAACTCTGGGTGGGTCTGTATTGGAACTATCACTCTACATAGTATCTTGGAATAGCACTAAGCAGTCCTCTTCTCCATGAATCCATACTGTGACTCCTTCAGTCAACCCATAAATCAGCCCTACCCTCCAGGGATCTGTCGTTCAAGTCTAGTCCTGGAATATGACAGTGACACCCTTGCCAAATTGCCCCTGTAGGTAAATCTTTTTTCTGGATCTCACAGAGGGCAATCATATCACATGTTCTCACTTGTTAAGGAGAATCATATGTTTACGCAGTGCAAAGACCCTCATAGAGGAAATGCTGAGTTGCCTGAGAAAGGCTTAATCCCCAGCAATGATTGTAGCATTCAACAGTGATGGAGGGATGGGAAGGGTGAAGAAAAGCCCTCTTCGATTATAGTAGATGGATTACATCTATCTTCTATCAATTTCTGTGATTTATATAGCCCCCCCCCCACACACACACACAAATGTCTCTGTGTGGCTTGCAGGATTAAAACACTCCATGCCAGCAGACATAACCCCCAGTTCCTAAGGATAAACAATGACCTCACTTGCCATCAATAACAACAGAGTTCATCTACTTGCCTAACCCAAATGTTTTTGGAAGCAGTCATGTCTTCAGTGCCTTGTGATATCCTAACAGGGTTGGGGGCATCTGTGTCTCCCTGAGTGGATGCCCATTTTTGATCCAAAAAATTATCCTGAGGTGCTA